CAACAAACATTTACTGTTTGTTTTATTCCAGGAATGCTAGGAGGAGATGCAAAGATGAATAAGAAATTGTCTCTGTGCATGTTTTCACCCAAAACCAGAGGTCTAGAGCTTACTGCTATAAAATTCCCTCTAGATTGGCATAAAATCCATTACTTTAGCACTTTGAAGATATGGTATCAATCAGCTATCGATTGATCTAGTGGTATATTTCCATTCCCAGAATTTATCTTTCCCCTCTTTTTGAAATGAAAACAGCTGCCTATTGACATTTTCTGGTCATGTGCCCCCTTCATGGCTATTCGCATAGTTCAATACCGAAGAGAGCCTCACCCACTCCTAATGAACTCCTTCTGCCTCCTAGAACCCTACACCATTCTTCTAATCCTTTCCCTCTACTTCAACCCAGAGGAAAAAGGTATTGCCTGATTCTAGGATTGGGAGTCTTTCCCTTTTTCATTACAGTGCCATTTTCCTTGTAAATCCTGCCCTGTAGTGCTTGTGGCCTTGTCAGACCCATGTCAAGTGTCTCACTAGAGTAACATTGGCCCTACGCATAGGTCAGTGACAGCTTCCTATTAATTGAAATAAATCTCAGTTATCTCACAAGCCCTCAGAAGTTGTGGACTCAAGTACAACATAGGAATTATAGTAAATAATCCTATATAATAAAAGCCTGATATGCTAAGTGTCTAGTCGTCCGGTCCTCTGTTCAGCCTATCAAAGCATAATATGCTAATGGATATGCTAAGGCCGCTCAACTGCTTGCTATGATGTGCCCTGACCACCAGGGGGCAGTCAACCGGTAGACCAGTCGCTATGACATGCACTGACCACTAGGGGGCAGATGCTCTGACCGGTAGGTTAGCTTGCTGCTGGGGTCTGGCTGATTGGGACTGAGCGAGAGGGGCCGGACATGCCCTGGAGCCCTCCCGGGGTCCCTCCCTGGCTGGCCAACCTCCTGTGTTCTTCCTCGGCCCCAATCGTGCATGGGTGGGGTCCCTCAGCCAGTCCTGTGCCTTCTCACAATCCAGGCTGAGAGAATCCCCCCCAGTGCACAAATTTCATGCGCTGGGCCTATAGAATTATAATAACTATGTATGGTGCCAGGTGGGTACTAGACTTATTGGGGGCATCAATTCATAAGTTATATAAATGTCTAATCAATGGGTTGTACATCTGAAACTAATATAATATTGTACATCAACTGTAATTAAAAAAGAAGATGTAGCTGTGTATCAAAAGTTCTAGGTAGCTGACCATAGATAATGTAGGTAAAATTTTGGTTTTAAAATGAAGTATGATGTACGTTAAAATGTGATAAAAAATATCACACAGCTGATTTTTATCCATTTCCCAGAGACCTCTAGAGGTGATGTCTCTTTCCTGTAATTCAACATAGACATTACCATCAACCTCCGTGCCTCTCCAAATCCTGTTGGTTCTTCATGGCAGGCATTACCGCTTTGAAACTTTCCCTACCCATTCTAGCCCTGCAAGATCTCAGCTTTGGTGATTCCATTGGTGAGTATTCTGTGATCACATATAGTATGCAACTTAACATTTTTTATTCTACAGTCTTGCTTGCTATCTAATGTATACATTCTCATATATGTGGCTGTTTTTTCTGTTGGGTACCTAGGTTTGAATGAGCTTTTATAGACTTTTTGGTTTTGATTTTGAAGTGAGCTGCTTCCTAAGCTATTTGTTTCAGATGTACAATCAGTTGGAAAAATAGCAGATGCTAATCTGATGTGAATGAGGAACACCAGGAGGAACTATCTTAAACCCCAAACCTCTTCCCACCAGCCCTTCTGGTGCCTGAGTATGCAATGAGACTTTGATTTCTTTGGTTGTTTCCTGAAAGTACTAGTATTCACTTTGAAAATGAAAATAACCATATGCTTCTACCTCAGTAAATATCAGTAAAGAGGCCAGGGATTTTAAACCAAGATATCTTAGGAGTTGCTCTGGAGAAGAGGGAGCTCCAGAAATGCCACCTGCCCTTCAATTAGAGCCACTCTACTTTTGTTTTATGGACCGAAATTATCCACAAACTTTATCTATAAGCCATTCAGCTGCACAAGGAATTATTTTTGAAAAATATTCCTTTATGGCACTAGGTTTCAAACTTTATCGTGCACAAGAATCCTCTGGGAGGTTTGTTAACACACAAATTGCCAAATTGCCCCCCCCCCAGATTTGGCAGGTCTAGGGTAGGGCCTGATAATTTGTATTTCTAACAAGTTCTCAGTTGCTTCTGGTGGTCAAGAGACCATGTACTCTGAGAACTACTGCTTTAGGGAAATGTATTAACAGCTTCCCAGAATTCTCTAGGAAAAGCACTGGCAGGGCATGGGGGTTGGGGTTGGATAGGAAGTGGGAGAACACCTCTAGAAGGTAAGCTGACTGGTTCAAATAATCAGTTTATATATACACACACACACAGACACACACACACACTGAGTGGCCAGATTATTATGACCACCTGACGTTTGTAGGCAAATTAGCTGTACACTGCATCGTGTGGGATATGGAAGCCGAAGGCCTGCTCGAACACCTTTGCTGTCTGCAGTTACCAAGATAAAATGTCTCCAATTCGCACAGGAACACAAGGATTGGACAGTCAAACATTGGAAAAAAGTCATGTGGTCCGATGAATCACGTTTCCAGTTGCATCATGCAGATGGCAGAGTGAGAATTTGGCGGAAACAGCATGAAAGCATGCATCCCACATGCATGAGTACAACCCTTCAAGCTGGTGGG